ATTGATGTTTAATGTTATCGTTGGTAAGCTCATAGCACTGGATTTGGACTATAGTTATACTTGACTTTAACAAATATTTTCTTCAAAACCCATGTAGTTATTGTAATTTGAACTGATTGTAAGCATAAACGCTTGTTGTGAGTTCCCTAAGTAAGAATCGAAATCGATAGTTAACGGAAATATGCTTTGTAATTATTTCTCGTATCTTTTTAAAGAATTCCGGTTAATCAACCTATGGTTTAACTATCTCTATCTTACAACCTACGCCACCCTTCATCATCATCCATCGACTTAAGTGTTGGTTGGAAATACGCAATTCGGAAATTTGCAATCTCATTAATCAACCTGGTATCTGTCTCTATTTAGTATGTTACATTCAACTTGACTGTTCTATTACCCCTACTACTACTTATGGGATTTGAATTGACAATTGCATCTCTGTGTTAGTGTGGTATGGCATCATTATCATTATCAATAGCAACCTGGAACTTTGTACGTAAGTACAACATTTCAAGTTGCCATACCATATTAGCACAGAGCTACAACTTTCAATTCAAATCCCATAGTAGTAGAGGTAGTAAAAATATTAGAAGTAATCAGAGAGATTAGGGCTCGAAACATTATTCAAGAAGTATAATTCAGTGAGGTAAATTTAGAAACAGATTGATAGAGGTGATGAGGAATTGTGAAGATTAGAATTTCATAGAACACAAAGAATAAATGCATCTGCGCCATTGCAAACGGTGTTGAGCCATGTCACACAGGGTCTCTAACCATCAATTACTATCATCTCGCGGGCCCCAACCAGGTAGTCGACACGTACCAACATGACTCAGTGCACTTGTCAGTGACATCATGGATTTGTGCCGTGTTTTAGTCTGACCCCCCTAGCTTTCTTCCAATCTATTCCTATATCGCGAAACATAACTCAGTGTGGTATAGCAACTTGAACTGATATGCATACGTACAAAGTTCTATGTTATTGTTGACTGACTGATTGCCTGTTTGTTCAATCACATAAGATTACAATACTTTAAGAATATTTGTGATCTACTAGTACTGTAGTGAAGGAGAACACAGGTGAGGGCAACCGAATTGTATTTGACGAAAATTACAAAGTTCCTCAGTAAAATAGGAAAACCATATCGTATCCGTTAATTTGCAAATCTTCAATCCATCATCGATCCATTGTCTGACATTTCACTACTCATGCGTTTCATACGAATTCCATTGTGTTCTAACTCTTCCTTTCTTGATCTTCCCTCATCTTCTGCTGCCAGACATTACGTTGACACTCACGTCATATACTACTTATAATTGCCTCGCACCACACTTGTACTAGCAATGTAGTCAGTTCCTCTATATATTTTTTTTAAACAAAATTACATTTTGACTGTAATGAAATAAATCAAAAGCATTATTTGTTTGTTGTACAACACACTCCCTGTTTTTTTATATACATATTTATAACCAAACTAATATAAACGAATTTGTTCTATTTAACTTTTTTATTTAATTATTTCATCATATTTTTATCATAGTTCATAAATTGTTTTTTTTTAAAAAAAATCGAGTAAATTAATGTTTTTTTTGTTTTAAATACCATTAAATAAATATTGGCTATTTCATAGTCCTATTTTTAAATTATCTATTATTACTCTGGTTTATGTATAATTTGTTTATATATATTGATTTTTCGTTTTTAAAAAAAATTCAAAATGAAAATGTTATTCCTGTCGCGGTAAATTTCATTCACCTCATCAAAATTACTCTTCATGTTTATTTGCTGTGTTTAATTTTGTTGATTAAAACAATATTTGAAAAAATTAAATGGTTCAAGTGAAATTTAATTTGATCAATTCTATAATGTTGATTATTTTTTTTTGGTCAATAATTCAAATTTATTTATTTCAATTTTTTTTCTAAAAAAATGCGAATAAGCAAAAGTGAAGTTTTTTTTGTCAGAAAATTTAAAATCTATTCAATGAATTTGTTTATATGTTATTGAATAAATACCTTTAAAATTCATGAAACATTTATTGCTGCTTGTCTGATGTCATGAGGTTTACCGGAAAATCCGATATTCCGTTTTCCGATAAGTTGAGTAATAAAGTTGGTTAGTAAGTGTTAGGGATGTTAGATCCTCAGAACTCACTTGGAAAAGGTCCTAATTTTGCGTTTTTTACGTTTTCGCACATAAGTCGCCCAGTTGACCTTGAGCTTACATATCCCACTCGGAAGATCCTTGACTGTCATTGGTTGATGTATTATTTTAGTACGCTATTTTTATGGCTCTCTCAAGGATGTTTCTATCATCGTATAAATATGATCATTTTGTATGCTTCGCAACCTCGTATCTTCTAGGTGCCTGTAAAATGGAGTCTCTACTCTTTATCAAGATTTCTTTATCTAGTTAGCAGGGCCGGGGACAATCGCATTAGAATAGCCTATTGTGTCACTGAGTTATTGCTTCCGTTCGTTTACCGAGTACGGTGAACGCGTAATTGTTTCAAGCATATCAATTGAGGAGCATATCAGTAAGCTGCTAGTCAGTGGACACATGTTTCATCCTGTTTTGAACTTATCATCTAAATATTTACCTTCATCCCATGTGTTAATGTTCACATAAGAACACCACTGCACTACATTTCACTTCGAATGCCCAACGTAACGTATTGTCCACTGAGTTCAATAATACTCTTTTTTTATGATTGTAAGCGACATGAATTTTTGCGTTTGTCGGAGATGATTGTCTATTTTTCATAAGGAATCGGTTATTAGTTTAGTTTACAGTTAGCTTTTATTTTTAATCAACATACTTGTACTTTAATGAAAATATTAGGTTAACACCATAGACGACCGGTTTCACCTTCATAAGTTTTGTTCTTGTTCAAACTAGTATACATTTCAATTGTCATGTTAATCTCATTGATCATTTTTGTTTACACTCATTGTCGTATGATTAATTATCAACATTTTTAAATATAATTATGCATATATCTGTATATAATATGTTTGTTTATTTACTTAACTATTGAAAATTGTATATCTCCTGAATCACAGTAGTTTGTGATTTATTCATTATGTTTTTCATTGTGTATCTACTGATTTAATATACCGGCTAGATTGTATGAAATAAACTTCATATTGGCATTTCTATTTTTAACACATTGGTAATCATCACCATCATCATCATAGCGTTGAAGTTCTCATTAGTCGGTTAACTATGTGGTGTGTTATGTAGAATTATGCAGGCCGATGAACTATTGGAGTCGAATTCGATGTACACGCTCTTGCACTTTATATAATATATTATGATAGAGCTTACTATACACATCTAATCTACCGTTTGAAGGTTTTGTGATCAACGTTGGATATACTACAAATAGTGCAGTCCTATTTGAACGGACACCTTAAAAAAATTCAAAACTTTTTGAACACCTTAAGCTAAAGCTAGAAATATAGCTAATCATAACAGTTGGCATTTTTATGTTGCCTATATCTAAAAACTGAACTGATCAATCTTTGTTAATGTTTGTACTAATGTATTATACCCTTCATTACGAACTACATTTCGAAGCTAAACAACTTTTGACTATCACGACCAAAAAGCTTGATATATACTGTTTTAATGTTTGAAAAAAACAACTTCTGGTTTAACGCTTCAGAGAAAAAAACATCAGTAATGGGTTGTAAGTGAGGTGTATAACAGGTATCCTGGTTTCCAAACCTGGTTATTGTGTAAAAATATAACCGACACGTTGATGATTACATTCATTCAGTCTTCGTAGCATTACTCGTATATCCTGGGACAACCGAGTAAGCAATACAAATAGTTAGGAATCGAGTACTAGGTAGGGATGGAAGATCAGCTGATGAAGTATTGAAACTTCATCAGTCGAGGTGGTTAGGACATGTGTTACGAATGCCCAACCACCGACTGCCTCAACGAGAGATGTTTTGTGTTAGAGGAATAGGTTGGAAGAAAGCTAGGGATGGCCAAACCAAAACATGGCAGAAATCTATGAAGTCACTGACAAGTAAACTGAGTCATGTTCGTAGGTGTTGACTAAGTGGTTGGGGCCCGCGAGACGATAGTAACGGATGGTTAGAGACCTTGAATGACATGACTCAAAATCGTTTAGAATGTCGCAGGTGCATGCACTCTTTGTGTTTTCTCAAATTCTAATTTTCAGAATTCCCCATCATCTCTGTCTTTCTGTTTCTAAAGTTCTATCACTGAATTTTACTTCTTGGATAATATTTTGGAACCCAAATCTTCTCCTTTACCAGTAGTACTTCTACCATCTCTACCACTATGGGATTTCAACTGACCATTGCGTCTCTGTGCTAATGTGGTATGGGAACCTGAACTGATCTACTTAGGTACGAAGTTCTACGTTGCAACTGACTGACTGACAACCAAAAGAGAATTAACTAACTACTTCACTAAGTTCAAATAGTTCTTCATCATTCAGTTACTTCTATTCGATTACATTTATTTAAACACACAAACTTTTGTACAAAGAAGCACCTAAATATTTATACGCTATACAAATTATTGAATATGTGTGTGAGCTGGGATATTGCACTCCTGCCCCAACTGAACAAGGTGGTTTTCTAAAGGGCACAACTCCCCTTTTAAAATCTTTTTGAATATTGTAGTTTCAAATTGATCTGCAAGTTACGAATTGACGGTTGTTTTTGGCAGATCGTTTCAGCTTCCTCCCTCATACTCCATTGCTTAAATTGATATGTTCATAAAAGCTACACTGGTTTAACTTTGGGACCATCACTTACAAATATGTTTTATGCATGATAAACACTTTCTACAGTTTGTACGTTTCATGTGTAATTGCTTAATTACTGAGATATTTTTTTCCTGACTAAGCGGTTAATGGCAAGTAAACTCTGCATAAAGATGCTCAACTCTTCATTGTTTGAATGAATATTCATAAACAGTGAAAATATTTTAACACATTACATGTTTCAATTTACAGATTACCCATAGATCCACCAAAACTAGTACGTAATCAAATTCTATTCAACAATTCAGTCATTGTGTCAGTTTGTGATCCTATGTTGGATGAATTTGATGATGAAACTCGTGAAAGATCAACAGCTCTACGTCGTACAGCTAATTTACAATCAAAAGAATATGTTTGTCATGTAACCTATAGCTTACAGGTAAATTTTTTTAAATAGTGATTTGACTTCAGCAAAATATTCGCAAGAATCACTAAACTTGATTGTTTAAACACGATATACGAGTCTATGTAGGCTATTGCAGTAACGTGTTGTATTTGCTGTGTTACAATCGATACTGAAGATATTATTTTTTCTGGTAACCCATATTGTTTTATGTTGGTTTGTCGTTCTATTGAATGGTGTTTTTATTAATCTCTGACTGGCCAGTCAGAATAGAAGATATTCGTAGGTTACTGGTTTTCGATCGAAAGTGTCTCTGAAGCATTGCTCGTGTATCGTGGGACAACCAAAAGTGCAATACATGAAGTATTGAAACTTCATCAGTTGAGGTTGTTGGGACATGTGTTGCGTATGCCCAACCACCGACTACCTCGACAAGCTGTAAGTTGGAAGAAAGTTAGGAGCGGCTAGACCAAAACATGGCACAAATCCATGAAATCACTGACAAGTGGACTGAGCCATGTTGGTAGATGCAGACTACTTGGATGGGGTGCGTGAGAAGATATTAAGGGATGGTTAGAGACCTTTAACGACATGACTCAAAATCGTTTTCAATGCGCAGGTGTGCATCCACTCGTTGTGTTCCATGTAATTCTAATCTTCTGAATTTCTCATCATCACTATCTTTCTCCTTCTAAATTTATCTCACTGAATTATACTTCTCGAATCATATCTTCGAACCCCAATCTTCTCCATTACCGCTCATACTTATACTATCTCTACCACTATGATATTTGATATGTCAGTTGCGTCTCTGTGCTACTATGGTATGGAGACGTTGACTGATGTACTCACGTACGAAGTTCTACGTTGTAACTGACTGACCGAATGATGCACTTACTTGCGATAGAGGAATAAATAGACAGCAACAAGAAATAAAACCAGCGTGAGATCAAGACTAACTGCTAAACGAAACTGCGAGTTGATAGATTAATAAGGTTTTGAATGCGTTACACATGTTTAAAAATTTCCCCGAAAATTGGGAAATTTGTTGTGTTTTATCAAATTTTTCAGTGTCCCTGCTGTTTACTTAGTTAGATGAAAATAATCTTTCACAAACATCTGAAGAAGAAATTCATAGGTTGCTATTAGTTATAAGTCGTTTTAAGACATTATCGATGTATGTGTAGACCACTACCAAGTGAAAAGTACTTGAGTTAGACGAAGTACCTAATGCACAATGTCGGATGATATAAGAATAGGTTAGAAGGAAGTTGGTGATGACCATAAGGTTATCAACTGTTAAACTGAATCAATATCGGTGAATACACAATAGGTGATTGTGGCCTGCATGGTTATCGTAACAACGATTGGATACGTTGGTTCGAAATCAGTTTCAATGCTGCAGATGCACTCACTCATTTTCTTCCCATAGAACTTGAGTTTTCAAAATATCTGACTCAGTGAATTCACTCATTTTCTTTTCTCAAAATATATTCTCTTTGTTTGCTCATGCCACTACTACTACTGTGGTGCGAGCTACTTATAAGTAGTATATGACGTGAGTGTCAACGTAATGTCTGGCAGCAAAAGATGAGGGAAGATCAAGAAAGGAAGAGTTCGAAAACAATGGAATTTGTATGAAACGCATGAACAGTGAAATGTCAGACAATGGATTGATGTTTTGCAACAGGAACAGTCCAGTTCCATAGTATGAACTGATATTTTGCAAATGAACGATTTACGATATGGTTTTCCTATTTTACTGAGTAACTCTGTAATTTTCGTTAAATACGATCCGGTTGCCCCACCTGTGTTCTCGTTCACTACATTACTACTACTACTACTACTACTACTACTACTCTGATACTCATTTCGATCTTTTCATCTCACTATGCCGACATACATACGTTCCAAGTTGTACGTTTCTTATAACTGACTAGAGTTAAATAGAAAATATCTCACTTATTCTAGTCTGTATTTACAAAACTGTTCAATTTTTTTTGTATGAATTAATATTCCTTCTTTTTAATTCAACTTGTTTAGTCAAGACTTGCTGTCTTTCTGTTTGTTTTTTTTTGCACAGAATGAAATTTTAGGTGAACAACTTATGAAAATGTTTCGAGAACAAGTTGTTAATATGTAAAGATTTGTGATGATGAATGCAGTACATGGAACAATTCGTGGAAATGTATTTTTCTATGGTTTTCATAGCTAATAACTAAAATAAACTTTAATTCTATAGAAAAAGAAAATTGTAAAGTTGATTAATTATTGTTATTTTGTAAAATTTCAAATATACGTTAAGATTTATAACTTGAATGTATATATATATTCATAATTGTTAATCAACTTTTCAAGAAATTATACTTTTTCTTTAAATGATTTTTTTAAAAAAAAAATAAATTTAAATAATAGATATTCGAATATTGTTGAGTTGTATTATTTATTTATTAATTAGAATATATATGAGTTTTTTTTAAATCGATAACTGAAAATTTCAATAAAATGATAATCATGTTTAGAGAGGGGGGTTGTAGGAGACCAGGAATAATGTTTTATGAACTCGAGATGTTTGAATTAGCGATTGGAGGTGATAAAGAAATGAAAGAAGGGGGTTGATCGTGGAGATAAGAAAGTTATTAGAAAGTGTAGGAAGGATTCGATTGTGACGAGTATAAGGGCGAATATCACTTCCTGGCTGCGCACACCGTGGAAGGGTGTTTCTTGAGAGATCTGAAATGGAAGTTGGAATAGGGTTGATCTTAGAGACACCTAGGCGAGTGACCGCAGAGTCCCAGTGACAGCTGTTTGAGGCCGGTCATACACGGTCTCTCTATGGAGACTTTTAGCGTCAGCTCCACTATTCAAAAGACCTTACCACCCGAAACATAAATCCATGAGGCAAGATGGTGTGTGACAATTTAAGGGCTGATCTTTTCCAACCCTTCCTTCCTTGTGAGAAGGTAGTATCACCACAGATGCTGGTTGTCCGAAGGAAACACCTTACTGCTGTCACATCTCTCTGCAGTCAGCAATACAATGTCGCTGTAAGGTCTTAATTTGCTTCTTTTAATCTTACCGTTCTATAATCGACCCACCTGACATAGTAGGACCTAAAGGAATACATATGTTCAAACCAATAGAGTTCGGTTGAGTCATCACGATAGGCACGTCTGACGACCACGTCAAGGTAGCAGCTACGATTGGAATATATATTAAATCACTCTGTATAATTAAGTGAATACCAATGAATTCTATTGGTATTGAAAATATTTTCTGTCTCTTTCACAATATTTAAAAAGGCTATTTTTTCGGATACTGTTCTTGTTTTTTTCTTAATTGGTTAATTATTTATTACTTAATAATACTAACATCCAATTATTTTCAAGTTAAAATGATTCAATTACCTCATTCTATATGATTGACTGACATAAAAATTGTTCATGATGATTAACATGAACTCAGATTTTATTTACACGATAATTGAAGCTTGTGACAGAAAAGTTTATCTAAAATCTTTTAAGGATTGATATTTCCCTTAGGTTTCAAATTGAAGGTTACAACCAGAACCTAATTATTTTGTTTTATGTTTGATATGTTGTATGATTAAGGCATGTATACTACTTATTCATGTAAGGTTTCTAACTTACTACTTATTATTAATACAATATATTACTGAATTATTTTAGTTAGTGATTACATTACAAGTTGATTTGTAGAAATTGATTATCACAAAGATCTCCACAACATGAAATCAGTTAATAAGTACTCCATAAGAACAAGAGATTTGATAAACGCATATTAAATTTGATCACATACGAGGTTTCGTTCTTCAGGTTATCGATAAACATAATAGATGTTACGCTCATATCTAGGTATGCTTAAAACTATTACGAGTTCACCTTAGTCGAATAATGAGAACAAAACAATGAACCAGCGTCCGGGTAGGCTACTGTGATCCCTTGACCAAATTAAATCAGCAATAAGTCTTGATATAGTGTAGAAAGTGTATTCTACAAACACCCAGCCAGCACATTATGAATCCAAGCACTGAAATTGCGTTTATTTATACTCTACAGAGACGTCGTTGGGACAGTCACAAAATTAGTACACTAAAATAACTCAGTAACCAATCACAGCTAAGGTTTTTCTTGGTGGGAAATGTGATCTCAAGGGCAACTGATCGGTCCATGAAATAAATCCAAAATAAAGACATTTATCAAGCGATTTATGGGGATCTAACATCCCCAACTATAGAGTAGAAAGAATTCTATCCTCAGAGTAAATGTAAAGAAGTTTCTTTTTTAGGATGCTTCAAAATATACGCTTCATCAACTTTGATGTCCATTTAATGCATACTTTTGACATGGATTAATTTTTCTGTTGAATATATTAACTATATATTTATGGTAAAAGAATCCAGATATGTAAAAAAAATATAATCCTATACAGATAACTCATATTTATGCAAAGATGATAAAATCTCACTGTTGTTGATAAATTACTATTTATCGTGTAAATAACTAAACAATGATCCTATTTCGATTAAATTATCCATGTTCTATCATCTTGTTAAGTTTCTTAATGGATTCACCACCGTTATGATATTGCAGTACTTACTAGTTTCATTCATTCACTAATCGTTTGAAAACTTCGGTAGGCTGTTTATCGATCAATTTATTCTTGTTTATCTCTTTGTTGGGGGACGTTAGATCCTCAGAACTCGCTTGTTAAATGCCTTATTTTGGATTTCACGTTTGCGAGCATGGGCTGATCAGTTGACCTTGAGATTTCATTTCCCACCAGGAAAATCCGTGGCTGTGATTGGCTGCTGTGTTATTTTAGTGTGCTATTTTCGTAACTGTCCCAAGGACGTTTCTATAGTGTATAAGTAAATGAGTGTTGTCTGCTTGCTGGGTGTTTGTAGAATATGCTTTCTACGCTTACCAAGCCTTCTATATTTCAGCTTGGGATTCTAGGTAGCCTATCTGGACGCTGGTTCATTGTCTCGTTTTAGTTTATTGGCTAAGGTGAACTCGTCATAGCTTCAAGAGTGTACCCAGTGACGAACTTAACACTCATCAACTGTTTTTTGGTTGTATTCTATACACTTACGTTGGTAAGCATTGACCTGTCGGCTTTGTATGAAGATATTGTTGATTGTACTAATCAAATAGAGTAATTTCAGGTGATAAACTATAGTCAAGTCTTCACGTCAACTGAAGAGATCATTGGTTTTGTTATTCATAAGACAGAATTTCATGCTTACATATAGGGCTTTCACATGTAAAGTCCGAAAGCATCCCAATGAGTGATTGGATAGAAATCTCTGCTAAAGTTTGATGAATTTAAGTTTATCAATAAGATTTGAATGATTGGATTCAGTAGGCTTTTTGATAACACAATCATTAGATAATTGATAGTGATAGTTTTAGACAGCACAGATTTTTGTGTTATATTTCGTTGTGGTTCTGTAATCCCCAAACAATTAAAATGAATAGTCAGAAAACATATTGAACAGACAGACAGACTGATACAACGCAGAACTTCGTACATAAATACATCAGTTCAGTTTGCCATACCACGTCAGCACAGAGACGTAATTGTCAGTTCAAATCTAAGAGTGATAGTGATAGTAGAAGTATTAGCAGTAATGGAGAAGATTAGGGAGCGAAGATATGATTCAAAGAGTATAATTCAGTGAGATAAATTTAGAAGGAGAAAGATAGAGATTATGAGGAATTCAGAAGGTTAGAATTAAAACGTACACGCAGAGTGGATGTACCTGCGCCATATTGAATAGGATATCGTTGAAACCCATGACGTGTTCATCGTTTGTAAACAAAAAATATCCATTTACAAATGGGAGTGTAGTTCAATGAGAGAGTATATTTTTCTTACAATTCAATTACCTTAGTTCTATTTTTCATTGACTTGCCTGCTCATCATTTATTTTAATTGCTTACTTATCTTTTGAAATCGATCAATTCACGAAGTTGCTCAACCTCATACATTGTTTTCGGTAGTTACTGTCTACACCCGAAACGGGTCACAACTTGCCACTAGAACTCGGAGAAAATTCCTCACGGAGCTAGTCAGTAGTGAACACAGCTAATTGCAGTCAGTACTCGGCTATGAAGATTGTTAAGTTACATTTTTGAAATCATAAATCGATCAATATTAGACCACCATTAGAAACCTGAAAGCACTGAAAGATGGCCGTTTCGTGGATGCGCACTACTTATGAGTCCCATACGAGGACGAATGGTAGTCTCAGTCAGATGCAACGTAGAACTACGTACGTAAGTACATCAGTTCATGTCACCATACCACATCACCACAGAGATGTAATTGTCAATTCAAATACAATAGTAGAAGAGGTAGTAAAGGTATTAGAAGTGATCGGAGAGGTTAGGATTAGATGATATTATTCAACAAGTATGATTCAGTGAGAAAAGTTTAGTAAGTTAAAAGTACAGGGGTTGAAGAATCCAGAAGATTAGAATTTGAGCGAACACAGAGAATAAATGCACCGGCGCCATTGCAAACGGTTTTGATCCATGTCATTCACGGTCTCTAACCATCGATTATTATCGTGGACCCCAACCAGGTAGTCGACAACTACCGACATGACTAAGTGTACTCGTCAATGACTTCATGGATTTGTGCCATGTTTTGGTTTGGCCGTCCCTAACTTTCTTCCAACTTATTCCTACTCTATAAAACAAAGCTCGTCGGTGGTTAGGCATACGCAGTACATGTGTCCCAACCATCTCAACTGATGAAGTTTCAACACTTCATCTATTGATCTGCCATTCTTACCTAACACCCGATTCCTAATAACAGCGTTGCTCACTCGGGTGTCCCACGATATACGAGCAATGCTTCGAAGACACCTATGATCGAAAACCAGTAACCTACGAATGTCTTCTACTCTCAATCAAAAACGGTCGGGGAATAGTAGTCTAACATCATTGATCGATTCATGATTTCAAAAATGTGTAACTTAACAATCTTTACAACCTCGTAATGCTTATTAGTATTAATAATACACAATAGTATTATGTTTAGTAAAATTACGTGATAAAAATAATTACAGAGTAATATATATATATAAATATATTTGATTATTCTTGATCAAGCAAGACTTAACTTGTATCAAAAAATTAACAAAAGAACAATTATTTTAATCTTGAATAGCTTGTAAATATCATGAAATCTTACGATGAACCAACCATTTCAGTTACATTAACATTGATT